GCGCCGACGTCGCCGCCGCCGCGCGACGGCGCGCGAGTCGCGGCGAGCGCGCGAGCCGTCGGCGCGCCGACGTCGCAGCCGCCGCCGCGCGACGGCGCGCGGCCGCGTGTCGTGCTGCGCTGCAGGGCGCCCTTTGGCGTCGCCGCTGCCGACGACGCGGGGAGCCGCCGGTCGTCGTCGTCCGACGCCTCGTCGTCCTGGCCGTACGCGAGCGCATTGAGCCGCGCGAGCTGGCGAGGGTCGTTTTGCTCGCCGCGACGCGTCGCGCGCGGTGGAGGCATGCTCCCGCGCTGGTCGTCACATGCAGGCAGCCCCCAATGCAGAACTCTTGGAGATCATGTGCCGCGGGCCGACAAATAAATTTGGATATTGAACCAAAACGCTCGGCCGCCCCCAGAGGAGGACTCAGAGGGGGCCGACCACCAGGCATACACCAGCCGGGCATACACCGGCATAGCAGCCGCATAGCAGCCGCATAGCGGACGCATAGCGGACGCATAGCGGACGCATAGCAGCCGCATACCACCCGCATAGCAGGCGCATAGCAGGCGCATAGTAGACGCATAGCAGGCGCATAGTAGACGCATAGTAGACGCATAGTAGACGCATAGTAGACGCATAGTAGGCGCATAGCAGACGCATAGCAGGCGCATAAGACCAGCATAGCAGGCGCATACCACCAGCATAGCAGCCCGGCGACCGCTGTCGACGACCCCAGGCGACGGCCGCCGGAGGTCGCCGCATAGCACTCAGGCTGGCAGGCGCATACCACCAGCATAGCAGCCGCATACAACCCGCATACGACCCGCATAAAACCCGCATACCACCCGCATACCACCCGCATACCACCCGCATACCACCCGCATACCACCCGCATACCACCCGCATACCACCCGCATACCACCCGCATACGACCAGCATAGCAGTTAGACCGCCGCCTGCGACTTTTCTCATACATACATATCTTGTATCTCTGGCACACGAAAATTTTAAGACAGCCAAAAATTTAACGCGCCCCCTGCCAACTCGAA